GGGCAGAACATGATGAAAAAATATTATAATTAATTCAAATTTACTTGATCCAGCAACACTTGCAGAGTTTGATCTATGTTGTAGTCAGCACTTCCAAAAACAACAGCCCTGGGTACACCCCAAAGGGAGCTATGGGGAACCTGTAAATGGATCCAACATTTAGCATCAAGTCCAGATGCGCTGTTCAAGCAAGTGTTGCCTTATGTTGCTGGGACTTGGTAAATAAAAGGAATTCAGCAGAAATGAGATGGAAGTTCCTGATTTTGGGGATGGCTGATAGCTCTGTATTGCACCCAGGCTTCTCCATCTCTGAAATGGAAATGTTTACCTTTCTGGAGTGGGGCATCACCTGTATTTACTCTCTAAAGGCACTGACAGCACTTCAGTGTCCAGGAAGGAGAGAGCATCAACCACCAAGGTGATTGCTTAGTTCTATGTGCGAATGGTCTGAACAGTTGTTAGGTGGCAAAGCTTTTCCTCAACAGAGTTAACCAGCTTCATTATTCTCTTTGTTCAGGTGGGTCCGAGCTAGATCTTGCACAGCCGTTAGAAAGGGTGTTTAAGGCATTTTCTGTCAGTGGACAAGTTAACAGTGCAACGGCTCTTTCTTTATCATTGTAATAATCTCTTATCCTTGCTCATGAGTTGGACCAAGTAGGTTCTATTTGTGAGAGCCAGCACCGAAAGGAAAAATTTTAGCCGGCAGAGGGCCTACAGACTGACAGCAATGTAGTCAACCATGTAACAGTTCCAGGAAATATGGTGTATTGAGCTCTTACCTGTTCAGATGGCATCTTCTTACCGGGTGAGTTGGATCCCGGTCTTTGAAATTTGAATTGCAATTTTCACGGGAGATATAAGGATCTTATTTAATTATATCTTCCTTTATAAGAAATGCCTCTGTATGATACAATGTTTCCTACCTTTCCTATGTTTTGTATTAGTATTGGGACACCAGTTTTTCTTGAGATAATTGTCTGCATAGTATATCTTTTCTTCAACTTTATGCTTTCAACATCTATCTTTATATTTAACTAGAGGCCCGATGCATGAAAATTCGTGCAAGAGTAGGCCTTCCTTCCCCCGGCTGCCAGCACCGGCTTCCCTCTGGCACCTGGGACCCAGGCTGCTTCCTTGGCCGCCTGCAGGCACCCAGGACCCAGGACCCGGGCTGGCTTCCCTCAGGCCACCCACAGGGCACCCGGGACCCAGGCTGCTTCTTTCTGGCCATCTGCAGGCACCCGGGGCGGGCTGGCTTCCCTCCGCCGACCCTGGCTTTGTCAGGAAGGACATCCAGAAGATGTCCGGTCTAATTAGCATATTATCCTTTTATTATTATAGATGAGTTCTTAGAAGCAGCAAACACATAAGGTTTTGTTGTTTGCTTTTTTTAAAAAATATATTTTATTGATTTTTTACAGAGAGGAAGGGAGAGGGATAGAGAGTTAGAAACATTGATGAGAGAGAAACATCGATCAGCTGCCTCCTGCACACCCCCCACTGGGGATGTGCCCACAACCAAGGTACATGCCCTTGACCGGTATCGAACCCGGGACCCCTCAGTCCGCAGGCCGATGCTCTATCCACTGAGCCAAACCGGTTATGGCTGTTGTTTGCTTTTAACTTAAGTATTTAGTTATTTTGCATTTGATATATTCAGCCTTATATCTGCCACCTTAATTTTTTCCATGGTGAGAGGCCACTATCATCATATTGTTGTTACTTTAAATTTAGTGTTTCTTTATTCTCCAATTTTAAAAGTTCTTTCTTCACTTTTCCATTGTTTTCCTCTGGTGTTACTATGCGCAGTTCCCTTTGTATTTCCCTTGCTCAGACTTTGGATAGCTTACTGTATCTGTTGGTTGACATTCCTTATCGGTTTTGAAAAATTCATCATCCTTTCTCCTAATGTTGCCTCCTCCCTATTTATTCTCTCCTCTCCTGGATATCAAATCACATGTTAGACCTTTTCAGTGTCCCACATTCTCTTTCTGCCATATCTCCCATTTGTTTTCCTGTGTTTGGTTGGAGATATACAATTAAAATATTTAATCCTTTCTTCCAATTCATTAATTGGCACATGTATATTATTTTATTAAACCCATTTACTTTTAACTTAGGTTATTTTATTTTTCAACTCTAGAATTTCCATTTCATTTTTTAGATTCTAATACTCTGGCAGAATTATCCAACTTTTCCTGTATTTTATTTTTCCTCTACTTTTCTTGATCATATTAATCATAGCTGTCATTGAGTCCTTGTTTGATAATTCCAATAGCATGTTCACTTGTAGATCTCTTTCATTTTATATTTTTCCCCTTCATTTTTGTTGTTGTTATTCACAGGTTCCTGTCTCTTTAAATGATTTTTTTAAATGCCAGATAGTGAAAAAACTTGCTGAAATTCTAGAAAATATTATCTTTTTCTAGAGAGGATGCACTTTTTTATCTTTTGGCAGAGAAGAGGCTTATGACATTGATCTAATCAGGGACTGAGCTGAATTGGTGAAGGTTACATTTATGTATGTATGTATGTATGTATGTATGTCTGTCTGTTTTGTTTTTACTGAGAGATAAGTGACATGTAACATTATATTAGCTTCAGGTATATAACATAATGATTCAATATTTGTATATGTTGCAAAATGCCACAATAGTCGAGTTAACATCTGTCTCTGTCCATTCACAAAAATTTCTCTTGCAATGACTTTTAAGATTTACTCTTAGCAATTTTCAAATATGCAATACAGTGTTGTTAATGACAGTCATCATGCTTTATATTACATCCCCTTACTTTATTTATTTTACAACTAGAAGTTTTTACCTTTTGACCCTCTTCACCATGTTGCCCACTCCCAACCCTTGCCTTTAGGAACCAGCAATGTATTCTATGAACTTGGTTTGTTTGTTTGTAGATACTCCATATAAGTGATATCATATGGTATTTGTCTTTCTCGGATTTATTTCACTTAGCCTGTCCTCAATGTCCATCCATGTTGTTGCAAATGGCAAGATTTTATTATTTTTTATGTCTGAATAGCATTCCATTATATGTATATATATCACCCATCAATGGACACTGAGGTAGTTTCCATATCCTGCTATTATAAAGAATGCTGCAATTAACATAGGGGACCATATATCTTTTTGTGTAGTTATTCTTCAGAAGAATAACCAAAAGTGGAATTGCTGGATCATACGGCTGTTCCAATGTCTAGTAATTACTTTTAGGGCTACAGAAATGAAAGTTAAAAGTAACATCACTCTGTTTGTGTCAGGTCTGCATATATTCATCATTTAAAAATAGAACAATATTTGTATTGATGTACATGAAAAAATGAATGAGCTAGTTTTACATATATATTAAACTCAACTTTTTTAAAAGGGAAAAAAGGAAAGACAATCTATTTTATTTAATTCATGACAACTTGAAACTCTGAAAATAGAGACAGTCACACTCAGATGGACTTGTAAAACAATTTTAATTTTTACTCAAAATATATGAGATATCATTAGCCCTTATCTTACACTTGGAAAAACAGAGAGCATTGTACAGGAAACAGAAGCTATTAGATTTGAAGCTCAAGTTTCAAAAATATTCAGATAAGACAGGTACACTCCAGATACTGTTCCCATTGTCCAACGTTGTCCAACATTAATTTTGATATGCCTCCTTACTTTATAACATAAATATCACTTATTAGGATCACTGTTTAGTTTGGATTTTTTTTCTAAAATACCAAAAGGCTCCCCAGCAGTGCCCATCTATTTTATAAACTGACCCGCAGTTTTCTCTTCTTTAAAAAAATTCCAATCTATTTGGGTTAAAAGAATAAATAGCATATATCCAGGGCAAACAATTTTATCCCCACCAAATATAAGTGTTTTACAGTGAAGAAACTCAGAGCATTTGGCAGCATATTACTGTACTATGATCAGACCGACCAAAGTATGGTCCTTTGTATACAAATTCTGATCAAGATACTCAAAAAGTAGAGGGGAGTAAAAAGAAATGCTAGGGATAAAGCATCCATACATAAAATAAGTTTTCATGGAAACGTGCCAGATCTGATAGAATTCTAAAGACACTGCTGAAAAGTGCTGCCCCTTCCATGAGCTATAATTAGTACTATAAGCCCTGGGGGAACCATGGACTCAGTAGCTGATCGAAGTGGATGTCAAGATAGATAGGGCTTTGTTCCCCTACCTCCCGCTGCAAAATGGCTGCATGCTGCATACTTCCAGTTAGTTCTGACAGTGCAGAGAACCATGTTACAACCTTACTTAAAAGTAACAAGAAGGGGGCGTACACAGTAAAACAATAACAAAAAACCACAATAACAAAACGCTGCAATGATGAATTGTGTTCGTACCAAAACCATGGCGAGGAACTCTTGAAGACCAAGACCACGTTCCTGGACACAGCAACAGTGCAACTGGCGTCCACGCCGGGCCCTGTGCACACGCCTCCCGGGCAGTGTAAGTCTCCTCTCAGCAGCCACCCACAGAGACCTGCAGTGTAGTGAGTGTCGACTGTGGCTGGTCCACTCACACCCCAACGAAGAGTGGCCAGTGCCATCAGGCATGTTTGTTGGCTGAGTCAGGCTCTTGGGAAATACTCAGTCACTAGACATTTTCTTCACAAGCCATTTCTCAAAAGTGAACTGGAATACATCCTAACCTCCTCGGTTTTTAGGGCGTTTGTTAACTTCTGGCCTCTTTTTAAAACCCCGGTGTTGTGTGACAGGCAGCCACTAAAATAAACCCTCCCTATTTTCAACTTACTTCCCTTTCTTTCCCTAAGGTAGACCCTCTGTAAACCTAAAAACATGTGCTAACTGTGTTGTGTGACAGGCAGCCACTAAAATAAACCCTCCCCATTTTCAACTTACTTCCCTTTCTTTTCCCTAAGGTAGATCCTCTGTAAACCTAAAAACATGTGCTAACCTAATATACAGGGTTCCTCAAAGTGCAAAATGTGTTACACATAGTTTCATAGGCTTCGTTTAAACAGCATTTTATACAATACAGTACAGTGGGATCTTTGTGCTCATAAATTACACCACTTAAAAGACACCTACTTCAAAAGGTTGGCCACTCAAAGTAACCCAAGGACTTTTTACACACGGTTAATACAGGTGCGCTGTACAAGCTTTGTTCAGACCAAAATAAAGTTAAATCTTACACTTATCACATATATACATATATATTCCCAAATGCTCTTCAAATGAGTACATACAGCTAGACAAATGTTACAAACCATTATAGTTTGCTTTCTGATTTGTACACAAACATTGTATGCAATGTTCTTTTTTTAAAAAAATCTGCAAGTCATTTTATTTCTTTCTGCAAGATCTGCTCGCCCTGTAACTCTTTCGGAAGGGTTCTTGACCGTTGTAGGACCACGCTGAGTTCTTTGATGACCTGGGACGGCAACTTATTATCAGCGTCCAGAGTGGCTCTGCCGTTCCTGTCCTCAGCCTTCCCCAGGGTCTTCGATGAGCCTTTAGGGCCTTTCTGCTGCCCATGAAAGGCCTCGGTCTCAGCCTCTGTGTCCTCCAGACAGTAGAGGCTGCGATGCTTCCGGGTTCGATGCCGCAGTTTATCGTCCCTGTGCTCCAGGCAGTGGGCCACCATGGAGGCTCTGTCCTTCAGGGTGCTGTCCCCAGGCTCCTGGTCGCGCTTCTCAAGGAGCCGCAGCTTCTCCAGCTCCCCCCTGGCGCTCTAGGGTAAAAGGAAACACCGCATGGGAAGGCCGGACTTGGCAATTTACATTTGAAAAACGCATTCCACATAAAAGCTGATGCTTCTTATATTACAGCTTATTTCTAGGATTTAGGTTCTAATTTTGACACAAGCGGCTTCCCAAAATTTAAATACAGATCTGAGAGCTACAATGTGGACTAAGATGAAGACCATGGAAATTCATTTGAACATGCATTTAACGCAGAACTCCAAAGATGCCTTTCAGGGTAGTTATTTAAATTGAGTGTCTTTTCCAACTTGCCTCTTCCGATTCCCTTTTGCTTGGATGTGACACATGTCTGTGTATCTGTAGTTATACTCACAGAGAACAGGAAGTCTGCTTCTTATATTACAGCTTATTTCTAGGATTTAGGTTCTAATTTTGACACAAGCGGCTTCCCTAAATTTAAATACTGATCCGAGAGCTACAATGTGGACTAAAATGAAGACCATGGAAATTCATCTGAACGTGCATTTAACGCAGAACTCCAAAGATGCCTTTCAGGGTAGTTATTTAAATTGAGTGTCTTTTCAAACTTGCCTCTTCTGGTTTCCTTTTGCTTGGATGTGACACATGTCCGTGTATCTGTAGTTATACTCACAGAGAAAAGGAAGTAGCTGTGGCCCCTGAGTTTGGGGAAATGCTCTTTGTACCACAGCCTCTCTTCAAGATAACAGCATATTAAAGACACTGAGGAGTATTATGACAGAGAAATCTGTTTAACTTCTTTCTGTGTGTTTTTTTTTTAATTTCCTCCCAAAATATTTAGTAAAATCTTTCCTCCCACATAATATTAGAATTCCACAGAAATATTTTTAAAAACACCAGTAGATTAGAGTACACGTTCATTCAGTAAACTGTAAGGACCTACAGGCATGGAAATTCACTGTCACAATACCTGCGAAGGTATAGAGGTACACTTTGCTTTTAATTTTTCCCCTCAATTACGGTTTCAGGTGCACAACATAGTGATTAGATATTTATATACCTTATGAGGTGATCACCCCGGTAAGTCTAGTGCCCACCTGGCACCTTACCGTTATTGTAATAGAGTTGAGTATATTTCCTATGCTGTGTTTACATCCCTGTGACTGCTTTTATCAACTGGCAACTTAATACTCCTAATCCCTTCTTCTTCACCCATCTTCCCAGCCCCCGTCCTGTCTGGCAATCATCAATTTCTTCTCTGTATCTATGAGTTTGTTTCTGTTTTGTTTATTCATTTATTTTGGGAGGTTTCTTTTAGAGTCCACATGTAAGTGACATCATATGGTATTTGTCTTTCTCTTTCTGACTTATTTCCCTTAGCATACCCTCCAAGCCCATCCATGTTGTACCAAGTAAGATCTCATTTTTTTTATGGCTGAGTAATAGTGTTCAATACTAATGAGATAAGTGTTCCAATATATATAAGTACTGCATCTTCTTTATCCTTGTCTGTTGATGAACACACAGGTTGCTTCAATATCTTGGCTATTGTAAATAACGCTGCAATACAGCGATGTATATATCTTTCAAATGAGTGTTTTGGATTTCTTCAGATAAATGCCCAGAAGTGAAGCATTGGCTCATAGGTAGCTCTATTTTTAATTTTTTTTAGGAACCTCTGTACTGTTTTCCATAGTGGCTGCACCAATTTACAATCCCACCAACAGTGCACAAGGGTTCCCTTTTCTCCACAACCTCGCCAACACTTGCTGACTTATTGATGACAGCCATTCTGGCAGGTGTGAGATGATATCTCATGATTTTATTTTGCATTTCCCTGATGATTAGTGATGTTTAGCATCTTTTCATACGTCTATTAGCCTTCTGTATGTTTTCTTTGCAGAAATGTCTATACAGGTTCTATGACCATTTTTTATTTTTTAAGTAAAGATTTTTTCAATGTTTTTGATTTTTTTTTTTTTTTTAGAGAGATAGAAAGGGAGAGGGATAGAGTGATAGAAACACAGATGAGAAACACCATTGATTGGCTACCTCTGCACGCCCCCTACTGGGGATTTGAGCCCCCACAGCCCGGGCATGTGCCCCGACCAGGAATCAAACCATGACCTCTTGGTTCGTGGGTAGATGCTCAGCCACTGAGCAACAGCAGCGGGCCCTATGCCCATTTTTTAATTGGATTGTTTTTTGGTGTTAAATTGTATGAGTTTGGACAATAATCCCTTATTGGATGTAACACTGGCAAATATCTTCTATTCAGTAGTTTGTTTCATTCATTTTGTTTGTTTCCTTCGCTGTGAAAAACCTTTTTAGTGTGATGTAGTCCCATTTGTTTACTTTTTTCTTTCATTTCCCTTGCCCAAGGAGATATTTCAAAAAAATATTACTAAGAGCAATGTCAAAGTTAACTGCCTATGTTTTGTTTTTTTTCTAGGAGGTTTATAGTTCATAGGAAAAATGTTTAATTTTCACTAATTTTGTTTTAATGCTTTTTAAACTTTCAACTTTCCCCCAACGTTGGAATATTTTTAAGCACTCTTTGCCTATACGTTGAATCACCAAATCACCGCACTTAAATTTACAAAAAAATCTTAGGTTTAACTACTCATTAATTTTTCTATTAATATTTCATGGAGTTGTTTTAAAAGCCTTTAACAATATCTTCAGTGTTTTAGTTCAGCTCCCTGGTCTTAAGTATGCTAAAAACATTGTCTCTGAAATTTTGAATTTTGTATTAGATAACAATTATATATTCAATTATCATCCCAATTCTTAACTGGTACTGATTTAATGTATTTTAATACCAATACTATAGCTTTTGCTTTGGGCTATAATTGATCCTAAGACAATGTCAGGACAAGCTGGGGTCACTATAGGGCATATCCACTCCCTATGTTGGCTTCACTTGTTCAACCTGTCTCTCCCAACCTTGGTTTCTGGGAAATGCAGCCCTTGGAATTTTAAGCTTCTAGATTAGCTAAGGAATCCATAGTTTTGTAGGGCAGTTTATTACCCAGAATGGCAGGAGAAACAAGCTCATGATTTCTTGGAAGATTATTCTTCTCTTTGATTACATTAGTGCAGAAGGACCAAGTAGGCAACAAAGGTAATAAACCAATGTTTCCAAAGCTTTTGTCTTTTTAGAGAAGAGGAATATTCTAATGAGATAAGTGTTCAAAGAGAGATAGGCATGGACAAATATTTCTTAAAATCTGATCAGTAAGTTAAAATGGCTTTAGTCTTTCAAAAGATATTTCTGTTTGGAAAGCAAGAAATTCAAACAGCTTAATGCCAAACCCAGCCTCGAAGAAGAAGGACATCTTTTACATGCGTTTCTTTCTGCTCTGAGAGACTCAAAGGAGGCACTGAAATGTGCATTAGCCCCAGAGCAGGGTGTTTTGAGTGTAAACAGCCTCCACTCTTTCCTGAAGAGCCTGCACTTGAAGCTCAGGTTGATGCCACTTCTGCTCTCCCTGCCCCTCAAGGTGAGAAGGGGAACAAATCGCGGCTTTCAGGAAAAAAAAGCCAAATCTATTTTGATGCTCAGAGGTCATCTTGCAGCTCCTTAAATTAACTGGGACACCCCATCGGTTCCCAAACCACTGCTTGAATATGTCACTAGGAAGTCTAGTGGCCAGGGTTTCAGCAGACATCTGCTGCCATGGGCTCATTCTCAGATTGTTAGAAGTAAACCTGTAAGACTAATTTGAGACTTTGATTTTACCACCAGAGCTTCTGTACACGTATTTAAAATGGCTCGGCTACTTTAGGGATAAGCAAACAGGTGGTACTGTGCATATTTAACAGTCAATGACATCACTACACTAATCATTTCAAAGAAGTTAAAAAAACCCCACAAAACTTCTAAAACATGCCATAGAATTTCTCATGTTTTCTTGAAGGATGTGATTTTTCTTATGCTTTTCAAAGATATTATTCCTGATTTTTTGAAGCCAATGAATTAATGAGTGCACTCAATCACAGTAAGACCAAAGAAAACAAATGCTAGAATTAACATAAACAAAATAAAATCCTGACCTACCTCGATATTTCTCCAGGCTTGGGTGGCATTTTTCTCCTGCTGGATGGGAATGAGAGGCAAACCTCCGATTTTGGGGTTTTTGGTTATAGAGCGTTTCCGTTGCTTTCCAGCGGGTGGCCGTATGTCATTTTCATGCTGTGGAAACACAATTTCTTGCCGTTGGTGTGTGATGTTATTCTGTGGTGTACACCCTGTTACAGAGCCACTTGGCTCGCTTTTCACACACACACATCCAGTGACCTGCTTCCTATGAGAACGCCATCGCTGCATCGCCGGAAGACGTAAAACTCTTAAGTGAACTGAGCTTTGAGGTCTCAGTTCAATTTCTAAGTCTCAAATACATGTGTTCGGCACTACTTACCAAACCAAAAGGGGTGAAATATTCTTTTTTTAAAATAAATTTTTGAAAATATATTTTATTGATTTTTTGCAGAGAGGAAGGGAGAGGGATAGAGAGTTAAAAACATCGATGAGAGAGAAACATCGATCAGCTGCCTCCTGCACACCTCCTACTGGGGATATGCCCGCAACCAAGGTACATGCCCTTGGCCGGAATTGAACCTGGGACCCTTCAGTCCACAGATCGACGCTCTATCCACTGAACAAAACTGGTCAGGGCAAGGGGTGAAATATTTTAAAAACTGGCACATCTCTTCGTGGGAGAAAAAGAATATACTTGTCTACACTTCTCAGCCCTGTAATCAATGTAACTATGCGTTCACGTTTGTTCTCTCCACCAGAGGACTTCAGTGTAAACATAATAAATTCACCTTATGTAGCCCAAGTCTACCTTAGGCACGTCACCAGAAAAATTAGCCTTAATGTATGACCTTTTTAAAATGTTACTTTTTCATCTAATTGAGTTCCAGAGAAATGTTACCTCGTACACAGACATTTATACTGAAAATCATTGTACAACAGAGAGTGTGGCACATTTGTTCTCAAATTATTGACTACATATTCTTGCCACCGAGCAGTTGTAGATATGACTGGGAAAAAGTTAATTTTGCAACTGGGAAAAATATCCACAGGTAAAAAATAGAAGCTCTTGACTGATAAATCCTTGAGATATGCAGATAAAAGAAAAATCTTTAAAGATTTTTCCACTCCTCAGGGTAGATTCACTTGTCAGATGTTGGGAAAAGCAAATTGATTTTCAGACAACAATCTATGAAAGAAATACAGGACACCAACTATAAAATGAGCAGCTTACAGATGTTACGGTGAAATGAAAAACATTTGGTAAGCTATATAGCTGAATGCCTACTCTTATTTTCCACTACTCCTAACACTCAACAGAGTCTTGTTCTTACGTTGCAATTAGTATTTTCATGTAGGGTATTATAGCACCAGATTCATTTCAACAAAGGCTGACTGCATACCCATTGTAGAATAGCTGATTTATATTGAGGGGCATACTGCTAGACTTTGGGCTTATCGATATACATGTATTATCGCCTTTCATCCTCAGTGATCCTACAGTGTAGGTCCTACTTATTACCAGACTTAGTGTATATGCATAAGGTCTGTCCTTGAATTTTAACACATTGCGGACCAGTAGTTTTATTGCTAGCTTTACCCAGTGGCCAGTTAAGTTTCTATTGAATGAGTATAAAGAATGTTTTACATAAATGTTAAAGGCACGCTTTAAAATTAAATACCTATCACATTTTGAAGTTATTTATTACATGTACTTACAACCTAATATATTTTTAAAATATGACACTTTGTAAGACACTGTGTAATATGAAGCAAGAATTCTCGTGATCCGTCCGCCATGTGTTAAGGAAGTATTTACCTTGGTTCAACAAACCAAACACAGTAGATGTCTGCAATATTTTAATCAGAGGGAAAGTGACAAGCTTCATAACATTTCTATGTCATGGTCCCACACTTGATAAAATAATTTTGATGTTATATACGTGGGATGTTCCCAACGTGTAAAGCTGGGAGAAAACTGGCTGGGAAGGAAGTAGGCAATCCTATGAATTATGCTTAGACTTTTACTCACTGGTGTATAGTGCATGCATTAAATGACATTCTGAGGAACCTAAGAGCAAATGCAGTTTTCAAACACCATTTCTTTTCCTGACATGATAAACAATGCTCTGGATACTGCCTCATTAGGTCTCACTGAATGACCCAAGAGGTATTTTTCCCAACAGCAGAAATCATTAAATCTAAGCAATACGTTCTGATACTTCCAGTTATGTATAAGTGACTTCCAATGTTCTCCCGCATAGACCATATAGCTGAGATCATACTTCCATTATTATAACCAATGATCACATCCCCAAATCTTCATTTGTCTCCCACTTCCTAGTTTCTTTCCCCACAGCTTTATGGAGGTATAACTGACAAATAAAATTGTAAAATATTTTAAGGTATACATGATGATCTGATATAAGCATGTGTTGTGAAAGAATTCCCCCCACTGAGTTAATTAATACATCCATCACCTCACATATTTACCGTGTGTATGTGTGTGTGTGTGTATGTGTAAGAAAATTTAAGTTCTACTCTCTAAGCAAATGTTAATTATACAATATTGTGTTATCAACTTTTGTCACCATGTTATATATTAAATCATCAGGCCTTATTCATTTTATAACTACAAATTTTTTATCCTTTGACCAACCTCTCTACCCCTCCCCCCCCTCTTCACTCCAGCAACCACTTTTCCACTCTCTGTTTTTGAGTTTGAGTTGTGTGGTGTTTTTTAAGATTCCACATGTAAGTGATACCATGCAGTATTTGTCTTTCTCAGTCTGGCTTATTTCACTTGGCATGAAGCCCTCCAGGTTAATCCATGTTGTTGCACAGGATGGTATTTCTCTTTTTTAAAAAAGTTGAATAATATTCCATTGTGCATGTACACCACATTTTCTTGACCCACTCATCCATCTGCCAACAGACACTTCGGCTGTTTCCACACCTTGGCTAGGGTGAATGATGCTGCAGTGAACACCGAGTTTGCCTCTCACTTCTGACCTTGACCTCGTATCTTTCCAGCTCACTTCATTTAGTTTCATTCACTAGAAGCATTCTTAGGCTCCTTAAGACCTTTTCAATCCATTCCACTTTGCTCATTTTCCCCACTTCCTTCACAGCCTGGCCTCAGTTTCATGGCCAAAGAGTATACTCACCTCCTTATCAACTCCTTCAAGTCCTGTGCTCTTTCTCTCCCCCTCACATGTGCGTGGCTAAGCCCTGAACCTAAACCCAATTCTGCTTACTCTATGGGTACCTATGGACTGATGAAGGAAAATAAATTAGATCACTCTGGAGATGCATCTCATCTTAAATTAACTTTAAATTTCAAGTGAGCACGCAGCATTACCTGACTACCGTGCAACTGGTTTTCTCCCTCTCTGAAGAAATCTCATCTTTTACTCTTCCCCGCACTTCTAATATACCCCAATGGAGTGACCATGCTGATTTAATTTTTAAGATTATTAATAATCATTCAAGATGTTCATTTTCCCCATCATGAAATGTACCAATCTCCTCTGTGTTCACAGCCATGTAAGCGAGGCTCCCTTCTCTTCAATCAGTACTGCTCTGCTTTAATAACTTTTCTCCAGTCATATCTATAATTGCTCAGTGGCCAGAATACATAGTCAGGAATTTGAGGACAAATGTGCCACACTCTGCTGCTGCTGATTTTTCCAGCAATGATGAACCAATGGGCACTTACATTGCTTCACGTCTGCCCAGGGCCTCTGCTGGTTTAATCATCACCCTCTTCCTAAAAAAATTAGCTTTTCTTCCAATTACTGGATTGTCTGCATCAGCATAGAGGCAAAGTATACACTCTCCCATTTTAAAGACAAATCAATAGCCCAAACCTACCTTGACTTCTTGTTTCTATCTAGTCACAGCCTCATTTATAGCAATCACCTACATTTTCCTCCTTCCTCAACCCTTCTCATTTCTTTTGCTGTTTTTTTTTTTTAATATACTAGGCCTTTAAATTTAGAATGTTCCAGGGGTTGTCTGCCATCTCTTTCTCTCTCCCATACAACCCCCTCTCTCATTTTCTCTCTCTCAGATCTCACCCAAACTCATGGTTTTCAATACAATCTAAATACTGACTTGCCCAAAATTTACATTTCAGCCCCAACCTTTTGCCTGAGTTTTTCATCCTTATATCCAACCTGCTATCCAGCATACCCACGTGTATGTCTAAAAGGTAACTCAAATTCCATGTGGCCAGAACAGAACTCTCCCTTTTTCCCCCCTTTTTCTCTGATAATGTCACTTACATCTGCCTGTTGCCCAAGGCCAAAAAACTAAGATTCTAATCCTCTCAAACTGCTATAGCCAATTAATGTGAAAAGCCTTATTGGCTCTGCCTTCCAGTATTCTTGAATCTGAACATCTTGGATGTTCAGATCTGAGCAGATCCACCCTAGTCAGAGCTGCCATCCTCACCCACACAGGTATTCCTCCTGCTTCCATCTCTGACCCTTGAGAGTACGGTTTCAACAAAGTAACCAACGCTATTTTTTCAATTAATGTAAGTTGGAGGGACACTTACTATTGTGTGTGTGTGTGTATTTTTAACATCTGCTAAGTTCTTGTCTGTTTCTCTATGGAGGTGACCCACTAAATCCTTAAATCCCAAAGGATCTTTGTGTTGACATTAATCCTGAAATGTGGAATGGACAAAGAAAGGTAACCGGGCTGAGACCACACAGGATAGGTGAGGCAGGGGAAAATAACTTCACTCTGAGAGCAGCATCCTGGCTGATTATACTTTGATTTTCAAACTACAGAATGGATTGACTTCAATTATAAAAACAAAAAATCAATTTAGTTGCACCACAAAGACACAGCGTAACAGTTTTCGACTCTATAGTTCCAATTTCAGTAAAATACTTCAAATCCAGTTTTTTAAAGTAGGACTTGAATATCTGAATTATTAAAAAGTCCCCCAAAAAGAAGAAAAGTCTCTAAAAAGTTAGAGCAACCAGTCTTTTTCTGTAAATGTATTCCCAGGTAGTAATAGCGTCAGGCTGAGAACAGTGTTTATTAACCACTGGAGAGGATAATAAATTAAAGGAACAGAGAAAATGACCAGATTTGGGGGGTGAATTAACTTCTCTTGTAAGAGAAATGGGGAAGTACATCCTCGGTAACAAAGAGTGGCAACTTAATCGTGACCGTGAATTTCAATGCTCTTGTGCGAAGCAATGCTGGAATTCAGCCAGACAAGACTGAGGGGGGTGAGGGGGGAACCAATTCTACTAATGGGACTACTGAAACCTTCCCCACAAAAGTGAGCCCTCCTCCAGGAAGGAGACTGAATGGGGAATGGAGTGTATGTGTTTGCCTCTGGGTTTCAACCACTAACTAAATATATGGAAAAAAAAAAAAAAAAAAATTTCAAGTGAGCATGCAGCATTACCTGACTACCGTGCAACTGGTTTTCTCCCTCTCTGAAGAAATCTCATCTTTTACTCTTCCCCGCACTTCTAATATACCCCAATGGAGTGACCATGCTGATTTAATTTTTAAGATTATTAATAATCATTCAAGATGTTCATTTTCCCCATCATGAAATGTACCAATCTCCTCTGTGTTCACAGCCATGTAAGCGAGGCTCCCTTCTCTTCAATCAGTACTGCTCTGCTTTAATAACTTTTCTCCAGTCATATCTATAATTGCTCAGTGGCCAGAATACATAGTCAGGAATTTGAGGACAAATGTGCCACACTCTGCTGCTGCTGATTTTTCCAGCAATGATGAACCAATGGGCACTTACATTGCTTCACGTCTGCCCAGGGCCTCTGCTGGTTTAATCATCACCCTCTTCCTAAAAAAATTAGCTTTTCTTCCAATTACTGGATTGTCTGCATCAGCATAGAGGCAAAGTATACACTCTCCCATTTTAAAGACAAATCAATAGCCCAAACCTACCTTGACTTCTTGTTTCTATCTAGTCACAGCCTCATTTATAGCAATCACCTACATTTTCCTCCTTCCTCAACCCTTCTCATTTCTTTTGCTGTTTTTTTTTTTTAATATACTAGGCCTTTAAATTTAGAATGTTCCAGGGCTTGTCTGCCATCTCTTTCTCTCTCCCATACAACCCCCTCTCTCATTTTCTCTCTCTCAGATCTCACCCAAACTCATGGTTTTCAATACAATCTAAATACTGACTTGCCCAAAATTTACATTTCAGCCCCAACCTTTTGCCTGAGTTTTTCATTCTTATATCCAACCTGCTACCCAGCATACCCACGTGTATGTCTAAAAGGTATCTCAAATTTCATGTGGCTGGAACAGAACTCTCCCTTTTTCCCCCTTTGTCTCTGATAATGTCACTTACATCTGCCTGTTGCCCAAAGCCAAAAAACTAAGATTCTAATCCTCTCAAACTAGTATAGCCAATTAATGTGAAAGCCTTATTGGCTCTGCCTTCCAGTATTCTTGAATCTGAACGTTTTAGCAGATCCACCCTAGTCAGAGCTGCCATCCTCACCCACACAGGCATTCCTCCTGCTTCCATCTCTGACTCTTGAGAGTATGGCTTCAACCAACGCTATTTTTTCAATTAATGTAAATTGGATATCTTTTCCTTATTTCCCTCTCAAACTCTCAAAGGGGACTACATGATCTCTTCTCTGTCTTCCTCATCTCTTACCACCTGTCTCTCGTAGGCCTTTGTGATGGTCCTAGAATAAGCCAAGATGATGACATCTAGGGATCTTGCTGGTCCCCATCCCTGGCATATTCCCCTGCTACTACATACTTGTACACCTCATCCTCTCATTTCAGACACATCTGTCAGTTCATTCAAAAAACTCTTCCCTGAGAACCCTTCTCAGTTAATACCCTTCCTTACCTCAGTCACACTGGCTTTCCTTTCCCTCGCTTATTTTATTTATTCATTATTTTATTTTATCACACTAATATCTATTTTAAATTTGATCTGATTATTTATTTTCTCTTTTTCCTATTTTACAAATACTAACTGAGCATGTACTTTGTAAAAGACATTGGGTTCTGTGACACAGATATACATAATAAAGAAACTGTCAGAGAAATAAAACAACAAGATATCACCTGTCTGTATGGCTATCAGCAATAAATCAACAAACAAGTATTGGTAAGCATGTGGAGAAAAGGGAACTCTCATGCACTGTTGGTGGGAATGCAGACTGGTGCAGGCACTGTGGAAGAGAGTATGGAAGTTCTTCAAAAAATTAAAAATAGAATTCCTTATGACTCAGAGATTCTACTTCTGTGAATATATCCGAAGAATCCCAAAATACTAACTTGAAAGAAACATATGCACCCCTATGTCCATTACAATAGCCAAGATCTGGAAGCAATCCAAGTACCCATCCATAGAGGAGTGGATAAAAATGTGGTGGTACTTTTACACAATAGAATATTACTCAGTCATAAAGGAAGAATGAAATCTTACCAAAAAGCATGGGAAGACCTAGAGGGTATTATGCTAAGTGAAGTAAGTCAGAGAAACATTTCACATATGCCATATCATTTCACCTATATGTGGAACCTAAAGAATAAAGTAAAAAAAATTGAAAGGCTCAAAAGACAGAGCGAACTGGTGGTTGCCAAGGGGAGGTGGGTTGGGGGACTGTGTGAAAAAGGTTGAAGGGATTAAAAAGTTATACAATAGTCACAGGGATATAAACATCAGCATAGGGAATATAGTCAATAACGTTATAATAACTATGTATGGTGCCAGGGGTTACTTGAAATATTGGGAGGAATTGCTTTAAAATATATGACTGTCTAACCACTATGCTGTACACCTGAGACTAAAACAAAATAATAATAAATGTAAGCTGTAACTGAAAAGTAAAATTAGAAAAAAAAAGATTGACAGAGTCCTTCCTCTCATGAAATTTACATTTTAGTAGGAAAGACAGAAATGGAAAATCTAAATGCACAAATGTTTTATACTTAGTGCTACCTCGAAGTGCAGGAGTGAAGTGTTCCCATAGGAAGGTCTAAATGGAGAATGAGAAAGCTTCTCTGAGAATGTGACATGTAGGCTGAAATCTGAGGCAGGGGTGAGGATGGAGATGGATATCAGAAAAGGATTCTGGGCACTGGAAGGACTCACTGTAAGGGAGGGACACTTACTATTGTGTGTGTGTGTGTGTGTGTGTGTGTGTGTGTGTGTGTGTGTGTATTTTTAACATCTGTTAAGTTCTTGTCTGTTTCTCTATGGAGGTGACCCACTAAATCCTTAAAACCCAATGGATCTTTGTGTTGACATTAATCCTGAAATGTGGAATGGACAAAGAAAGGTAACCGGGCTGAGACCACACAGGATAGGTGAGGCAGGGGAAAATAACTTCACTCTGAGAGCAGCATCCTGGCTGATTATACTTTGATTTTCAAACTACAGAATGGATTGACTTCAATTATAAAAACAAAAAATCAATTTAGTTGCACCACAAAGACACAGCGTAACAGTTTTCGACTCTATAGTTCCAATTTCAGTAAAATACTTCAAATCCAGTTTTTTAAAGTAGGACTTGAATATCTGAATTATTAAAAAGTCCCCCAAAAAGAAGAAAAGTCTCTAAAAAAAGTTAGCAACCAGTCTTTTTCTGTAAATGTATTCCCAGGTAGTAATAGCGTCAGGCTGAGAACAGTGTTTATTAACCACTGGAGAGGATAATAAATTAAAGGAACAGAGAAAATGACCAGATTTGGGGGGTGAATTAACTTCTCTTGTAAGAGAAATGGGGAAGTACATCCTCGGTAACAAAGAGTGGCAACTTAATCGTGACCGTGAATTTCAATGCTCTTGTGCGAAGCAATGCTGGAATTCAGCCAGACAAGACTGAGGGGGGTGAGGGGGGAACCAATTCTACTAATGGGACTACTGAAACCTTCCCCACAAAAGTGAGCCCTCCTCCAGGAAGGAGACTGAATGGGGAATGGAGTGTATGTGTTTGCCTCTGGGTTTCAACCACTAACTAAATATATGGTCCTAAGCAAATGATGGAACCTTTGTTCATCTCTATTTCCTCGTCGTTAAGAATCACCATGCATAGTTTGTTGCAAGGAACACACACATTAACTCTTTTTGAAGTTTCTAGCAAATAACAAGTATTAAAGAAATGTAGGTTCCTGTCCTTATCTGTGGACAGGCAGGGTGGGGAGAGTAGGATCATGTGGGGCTCTGGTAGGGTGGCCGCTTCCACAAGGCCCTCTTTCTTATCCTGTCATCTT